ACACACACACACACACACACACTCACAATCACATAAACAAGTTTGCAACACACACACACACACACACTCACACACACACACACACACACACACACACGCGCGCGCGCGCGCGCGCGCGCACGCACGCACACACAAACACAAACACAAGTACACGCATGGGGACATAAAAAATCATGAATACCCGCATCTATTTTGTAACACGCAAAACTCTACTTTTTATGTTTACCGGTCATTGAATATTTATTTCCTCATTGCATGTCTGAATTCACACTGGGATCTAAAACGACTCTCCCCTCTCACGTCTTGCCCCTTCCCTTTTCTATATGTCTATCCATCCATCCATTCATCTGTTCATCCTTCCATCCATCCATCCATCCACCCATCCATCCATCCCTCCATCCCTCCATCCATCCATCCATCCATCCATCCATCCATCCATGCATTCATCCACCCATCCGTCCATCCACCCATCCATCCATCCATCAATCCATCCATCCATCCATTCACCCATCCATCCATTCACCCATCCATCCATCCATCCATCAATTTCTGATTTGTCCAACTTTATTCTGGGATTATCTAGCCCATGGCAGCCGGTAGCGGCATCCCTCTGATCAAGTCCTACCTGAACGGAGTCCGTGTGCCTGGACTTCTCTCACTCAAAGCCTTCATCGCAAAGTGTGTCGGGGTCATCCTCTCCATCTTGGGAGGGCTCGCATGCGGAAAGGTACGTAAAATCATCACAGAGATGAAACAAATGATTTCGTTTGTTTTAGTAGAGGTTTTACGGCGCTTGCAACTGCATAAGATAATATTATGAGTGCCAGAAGATTAGGGGTGTTACAAGAGGGTAACAAACATAAAAAAGAAGAAGGGGGGATAAGGACGATAGATGTTTGATAGGAAAGAAAAAGCAGACCACACCAGAGCACCTGCCAACCACCCACAATGATTTCGTTTTAGTGAGAGTTTAACCGCACCTGTAACACAAGTAGGTTATATAGGTGCCGACGATTAGAGTACTGGACGTGTTGCTAAAGAGTAATGTACAAATAAAAAGAGGATGGAAGATATGGAGGACAGATGTTTGATTAGTAAAAAGGAGCAAACCACACCAGAGCATAAGCTAACAACACACTGGAAGAACTGAATTCATAAAAACCATGCAGCTCAGAAAGCATTTTAAATGAAATGTCAAACTGCAGTTTGAGTCGTATTGATGGAGCAGATAGAAACATGAAGTTTCCTAATATCCAGGAAGACGTGTGCGTGTTTGTGTGTGTGTGTGTGTGTGTGTGTGTGTGTGTGTGAGAGAGAGAGAGAGAGAGAGAGAGAGAGAGAGAGAGAGTGAGTGTAAATGTGTGTATACGTATGTGTGTGTGTGTGTGTGTAAGTAAGTAAGTAATGTGTGTGTGTGTGCGTATGTGTGTCTATGTGTGTGTGTGTGTAAGTAAGTAATGTGTGTGTGTGTGTGTGCGTATGTGTGTCTATGTGTGTGTGTGTGTAAGTATAAGTGTGTGTGTAGTTTGGGAAACGAATTATCTTAGAGAAATCTGGCAGTAAAAGGTGGGTTAGTGGAATTAAAGCTCACCTTTCTAGTATCTCACTGAGTTTATGTGTAGTCCATAACGAGTAAGCAAGATAACACCCTAAATATTTCTGGTGTCACAAAAACTCATTAAAAGATGCAAATCTCAATCATCGTATGCAATTCTAAAATTTGTAATAAGTCGAGGATGTACTATATTATGGAAATGTGACGTCATTACCGTTTTTATCCGGTAGTTTATTACTCCCCTGTGCTGTATCTAATTCAAAAACATCTTCCGTCCCCAGGAAGGTCCGATGGCTCATTCGGGCGGTATCATGGCAGCAGGTCTTGGCAAAGGGAGGATACCTTGGTTCAACAAAGATATCAACGTGAGTGAAAGATACTTTTGTTTGATAATAGTGTTGGTGTCTTTCGTGTCACCATTGCTTTGTCATTGTTATTTTTGTAGTTATTGTTACTGTTATTTCTGTTATTGTTTTCTTTAGTTGTGTTGCTCTTATTGTTGAAGATAATCATATTGATGATTATTACAGAGAGGAGGAGGATTTTGAGGAAGAAGAGGAGGAGGAGGAGGAGGAGGAGGAGGAGGAGGAGGAGGAGGACAACGAATAGGAAAACAAACGGATCCGTCGACACTTCCGTCGACACTAGAGATGGGCACGAGAAGTAGTGGGAGGAGTAGTTGGAGGAGAAACCTTTCTGCATCAATGACTATAGACAAAATAACGCTTCTCCTTCAGCGAAGAAGGAACCAAAATAAAATAAAAAATGAAACATTGACCGTTTACTTTCAGCTGTACGGTATGTTCCGAAACGACCACAACATCCGAGACCTGGTGGCTGCCGGAGCAGCTTCCGGTGTGTCCGCGGCCTTCGGCGCTCCCATTGGAGGCACTCTCTTCAGTGTGGAGGAAGCTGCCAGTTTCTGGAACACTGAGCTTGTATGGAAAGTGGTACGTGGCCCTAACGTACAATTAAGTACGATACTCTACCAAAGACAAGTAAAACGATCCTGTACCTGTTGTGTAATTGTTGAACTCTTCGTCTAACGTGCAAAAGTCGATAGTTCGACTCAACATAAGTAATTTGTTTTAGCGAATATTATTGTCTTTCTATATAGATGTAGCACCTCACATATCCCGAATTGGCCCTGACAGGAAAGGTCAAGGCCGCCGGCCTCCTAAATTGTCTACTTGTGTCAAGGGGGGAGTAAAATGTTGCTGGTTACCCGGTTTTTCTCCAAATAATACAGTGTTACTGAAGAGATTAAAGAATTATTGTTATATCCGAAAAGAATAAAAGTTGACGTCTGGATATTGAGTACCTGTGCTGAGGAACCGGTTAAAAGGAATAAAACTGTCAAAGGCACTATGTCGTAGGCTTAAAGCGGGATCTACAATTATGGCGTCCATCTCTGATTAGACCGAACATACGGGGTACACAACTTGAAAACTCACCAAAAAAATTAAGTGTAAAAATTATTTGTTGTGTTTTCGAAACAAGTACGTCCACACTTGAGGTCATTATAATGTGTAACTCATGAGATTTAGCGTAGAATAAAACAAAAACCAAAAGAATAAAAGATTAACGGATTGTACGTTAAATAGACTTGTTATTAAGTAATTGATCGGCCGTATGACTCGCAGGAAAGGAATGTGGAAATACGTCCATCTATCACACAATGCGCTGAGAGGAAGGAGTTTTAAAATGTTTTTAAAAATGACAGGCCATTACGACATGTAAGAATATTTTTTCACTGCTTGTTAGTCCATCGATCAGAAGACAACTGTTTACGTTGATGTATTCACCACTAGTCTAAAAGTCCTTTTTGAATCACAACATTCTTTTGTCTTCAGAGAGACAGAATAACCTTGCGCCCACTGTCAGTATATTAATGGTAAAACCTCTTGGTTGAGTGTTAAACAGGGTAGCTGAAACAGGTTTTAGACGAATGTTTACGGGCATTTTCCTCGAGTAAAGTATGATAATATATCAACCTTTGCTATAAAAGAGGGCAGCCAGATAGACATTTGGGACTTTAAAAATGGAAAAGTTGTTATATGTTACACTTGTGCTACAATACTTCGACAGTTATAAATGTCATTGTTAAACAAATGCCCCCAGGGGATCAATAGAGCTGCCTTTAGTTGTTTTTTTCCTTGGTTGAGATTGCAAATTATTTTGTCCTTGCTTTTGTTCCCCAGTTCTTCTCTGCTATGATTGCCTGTTTCTCCACCAACGTGCTTCTTAGTGCCTTCGAGGGTCATCCAACGCAACTGTCTAACCCTGGTCTCGTTAGGTTCAACACATTCCCCGTAAGTTTGAGCTTCTTTTACGTTTGTTTTTAATTGCCAACTTTCCCACATCTGTGTTTGTACTTATACCAGCTCCTTTCTTTATGCTAGAACTACTATTGTATGTTTCCATGTAAAACGCTGTGACACCTACCCAGAAATGTTGTCGAAATGTCAAATAAGATCCTTTTAGTAGAGCTTGCTAATAAAGAATAATCCCCAGTCTCGACCTATCAATATAATTGTACATGGTCATTTGCAAATACAATTGAAAGTTCACACAACGCTGGGGACAAATGAGTGACTTTTCTGTACTGGCATTGGTAACTAGGTAATCAATGTAAGACGTGAAAGTTTTAAATTTGATATGAAAACACACGCTCTTCTCTCTCCATTGATTTCTCTCTCTCTCTCTCTCTCTCTCTCT